AGGGAGACGAGCGCGCGCAGGGGCGGAGGCGAGAGCCAAGCCCCCCCACCCCCCAGCGGCCCCGGCGGTTAACTCGGGGCAGGGAAGGACTTGACCCGGGGAGAAACGCGCCCCGGGAGAAGGGGAGAGAATGCTTCCCCTCCCACGCCCGCCCCGTGCTTCCTCCCGGCTGGGGGGACCGCAGCCGCCCAGCAGGGGGCTGTGCTCGCCAATGAAGTCACCCCGGGCCGGGAGACGGGCCTCCAGCTCTGAAACATTTGCCTTTCTGTTCCCCTCCAGCCAGATGGCCAGGCCGCTGTCCACCCCCAGCCCTTCGCAGATGCAAGCCAGGAAGAAACGCAGAGGGGTGAGTGTCTCAGCAGAGCTGCCCAGCAGAGGTTCACCCTAGGGCCCCAGAGGCCTAGCCTCCAGAAACCTGGTCAGAAACATCACCCCAACCTAGCCTCCCTGGATTCAAATCCTGCCTCTGCAGGTAGCTAGCTGGGTGACTTTGGGTAGGACACTTAACCTCTCTGTGCCTCGTTTCCTCAACTGTGTAGCTGAAATAACAACAGCACCTACCTTAAAGTGTTGTTTGGAAGTTTAAAGGAATTAATGTAACACACTCCCAACAATACCTGACACAATGGGCCATTATTATTTATCCCAGCCTTCCTCTTCTCTCTGAGCCCAGAATTTTCATTTTTTCCTCTGTGTGCTGAGAGGTGAGTGAGGGGGACAGAAGAAGCCAACACCTCTGCTTGCTGTTGGTCATCTTATCCCAGCCCTACTTTCCCCCCAAGATGCAGCTGTGCTTCTGCACTGGGCTCTGGCAGAGGCAAGACCAGCCCTAACCAGAAAACCTCGGGCAAACCACTTCCGTCCAGGTCTCGTGTTCTTTATTGGTAAAATGGGGTCATCATTTCTGCCCTGCTATCAGTATTCCGCTACCAGCGTTATGAGACGAGAGTGAGATAGTGTGAATGAAAGGCCTTCACAGCTGGAGAGGGCAGTGCCTCAGACTCCTCAGACCGCCTGGCCTAGCAGGGGTCTCCAGGGCTGCCCTCGGTGCTTTGGCTGGTGTCCCTGTCCTGATTGGTTGGTGCTGTACCCGTGGTTAATGGTTTAGAATATCCTCCTTCAGATCAAGACAAGAGATCTGAGTTCTCCCAACTTTGCACTTCCTTGCTGTGTGACCTTAAACAAGTCACTGCTCCTCTCTGAGCCTCAGTTCCCCGCTCTATAAAGAATAGATTTCTCTCCCTCACAAAAATATTGTGAAGGAAAATATGAGTCAATGCCCATCAAGGCATGTTGAACTGACTGTGAAGTGCCTGTGTGTAAATTCTTGTCATTGTTTTTTAGATCATAGAGAAACGGCGCCGAGACCGCATCAACAGCAGCCTTTCTGAATTGCGGCGCTTGGTCCCCACCGCCTTTGAGAAGCAGGTATGTGACATTGCCAGTTGTGTTAGAGGAAATCTGTGTGAGTGGCAGAGAGAGTTCATGGATCGTGGCATCTCTTACTGATTGGTAGCAGCTGCCTGCAGTCCTGTGATGTCATTTACTGATATCTGTCACTGGCTGGGGATAAGGGGAATGGAAATTTATACTTACTGAGGTATCTCAGGTGTTGTGGCTTTATGCCCATCATCCCATTGAACTGAATCCTCAAAATGATCCTAAAGAGTAGGGATTATTATGCCCATTGCACAGGTAAGGAAATAAGCACAGAGAGGTGAAGTAACTTACACTAGGTCACACAGCTAGTAAATAGCAGAGCAGAACTGGAACACAGAACTCTGATTCTAAGGCACCCTAACTGTCTACACTACTGACATTTCCAAAGCTATTTGAAAATGAAACAGGCTGCTCAGGGAGTGAGCAATCTGACATTGAACATGTCAGGGTGGAAGGACCACAGTGGGAAGTCAGACAGTTGCATCAATCAGACAGCCTTAAAGACTCTCACCGGTGCTCCAAGGCACAGTCATAGGTCATGTGTTTTCCCCTCCGCTGGTGAGAACGAGTCAGTTGTCCCGCAGACATTCACTAAAATCAGGAACTGGATGCTACCTGCCCTCAAGGGACTCACATGAAGAATCTGACCCTCAGGTTTCACCTGGGAGGCCAGGTGATGCTGGAGGCTTAGAAAACATTTCCCAAGAGAGAGAACAGAGGAAGAGCAAGTACTCTTGGGGGTAAGGTGACGAGCTAGATCTTGGGTGTGGTGAGGAGGAACCTGGGTCCCTGGAGCTGATCTGGGAGGTGGATGGGAATGCGGGAGTGGCATTCTGGGGTATGAAGCCACAGAGGCAGATGAGATCCTCAGCGAAGAGTCTGCAGAGTGAGAAAAGTGAACCAAGACCCACTGGGGACAGCACCGTTTTAAGGGACAGGCAGAACAAGCGCCAAGGTGAAAGGAGAACCAAGAAAAAGTGGTGGCAGAAGTCAAGGGAGCAGAGGTTTCAGGAAGGATGGTCAGCAGTGCAGTGGACAAGTGGGCTAACATGAACTGAAGAGAATCCATTAGGCTTGAAGACCTCTCCTGAAGCAGAGACCTAACTGCAGGCAGTGATGGAGTGGGAGGAAGGTGAGAAAACTGACGCAGTGAATGCTGATGACACTGTGCAGGGGAGGTGAGCGACAGAGGTCAGCTGGAGGCCTTCACTTTTCTGTCTCCTGTACACACAGGGCTCCTCCAAGTTGGAGAAAGCTGAGGTCCTGCAGATGACGGTAGATCACTTGAAAATGCTCCATGCCACTGGTGGGACAGGTACTGATGCTCTACTCTTCTGGGAGTCATTTATGCAGCCAATATTTTGGGGCTGGGCCCTGGGGATACACCAATGAGCGAAGCAGACATCCCTGCCCTCATGGAGCTCACAGTCCATAGAGAAGCTGAAGCAGATCCAGATAGAACATCTGCAAAGCTTGGCTCTCTTCTTTTTTAGGCACCTCCCTCTCCACTCTCAGTGTCTCCATTTGTCCCAACTCTTTCCTCAACTCTACTCCTTCTCCAATAGACTGTTCCTACTGACCTCCCTCCGCCCCAGGGCCTCATCAAGCATTAGCCTGAATGAGCTCCTTCTCACCGGGATCCCAGTGGGAGCAGCACGCTGGAGATCTTTAGCCACAGATGGTTCACTAGTGTGCCTACCACTCGTCTAGCCTTCTGGGCTGTTGTGTTCTTGGCAGTGCTGGGGACCTATGTCATGCTCACAGCTGAAGATCAGTCACGGGAAGATCAGTCATTGTAGTAGAATGCAAATGTGACTCCTTCTGTTATTTGAACTAGTCTATTACAATACAGTCACGGAACTGTGGCTTTCAAAAGACTTCCAGACAAATAGAAATTTTGTCCACATGGAGCCTCTCTGTGTATTTTTGGTGGTTTCTCAATTGGGAAAACTTGAAGGCTCCTCAGACCTTGGCCACAAAGACTTAAGTCCTAAAACCTTAACTTACTCTCTCTGGAGGGGACAGTTGCATTTTAAGTGGCCCAACCTGGTGTCCCTCAGTACGTGGCATTGTCATCTGGTGGCATGCAGAGTCGAGGGCCACACCCCAGACAGTCTGAGGCAGTAGGTCTGGACTGGAGTTTCGGGATTTGCAAGATTAGGAAGCACGCCCGAGGCCCCTGATGCAGGTGGTCACTCTGAGAACTTTTGCCAAAGGAATGCATGGCCAACAGTGGAAACTTGTGTCACTAATCAGCCAGTGGGGGAGAGAGTTCAAACTGCATATGTGGTTATCCAATTAAAAGAAGAACAGTGACTAATATTTAGGCAGCATTTTATAGTTTCAAAATGCTTTACTAATGTTATCTCACCTGGTTCTCAAAAAAACCTCATGGGTGGGGTCGCTGTCACCCTCATCTTCTGGCTAAGGGCAAGTGGGAAGACAGAGAATTGTGGTTGGGAGCATTGGCTTTGCATCTGAATCCTGGTTCTACTACTTACTAGCTTTATGTCCTTGGACAAATGATTTAACTTCTCTATTCCTCAGTTTCCTCATCTCTAAAATGAGAATAATAAAAGGGGTTTTATGAAAATTAACTTAGATAATGCAAATTAAATACTAAGTAAGAACTCAGCAAATGCTAGTTGAAAAGAACAGTGAATACAGATGGTGAAGCCAGGGACTGGATATTTACTGCCATAGTCATGAGGCCAGTACTCACCGGGGCTGTTCTGTGTCTGCCCAGAAGGTGGTATGGAGAGAAGGGCAGCCATGGAGAGGAATGGGTAGTCTACCTGGTCATTCCTCACCAAAATCAGCCAAAAAGAGGGTCCCCAGCCTGATGGCAGCAGCTGAGGACCAGAGTGGGGTTCTGCCTTCCAGATGGCCCTGTGAGCTGGTTCACAAACTGGAATTCCTCTAGCGGCCAAGCCAGTAATATAAATGGTAGCTTATTTTTAATTTAATGAGCATTTCTGTGCACCATTTCATTTCACCTGCACAATTCTATGCAGTAGGTACTGTTACATACCCATTTTACAGTTAAGGAAATTGAGACATAGGGAGATTAAGAAACTAGTCCGCGGTCAGGCAGCTTGTGAAGTGGCCTTCAGAGACCTCGGGCTTCACTGCCACACTGTACTCCCTTTTCCAAGGAGTCTCCCAGCATCTACCCACATCAGCAGGCAGGACTGTCCTCCACCTCCACGTGTACAGCTCTTTCACAGCTGGCAAGTGTCTACTTAAGTTATCTTGGTCGCAGTTTCTTCTTTGCATTAGTCATAAATTGTGCTGAAAACAGTACTTTAGCCCTGGCCGTTGGTTGGAGTGTTGTCCCATGCACCAAAAGGTCACGGGTTCAATTTCAGGTCAGGGCACATGCCCAGGTTGTGGGTGTGATCCCCAGTTGGGGTGCATGTGGGAGGCAGCCCATCAATGTCTCCTCTCTCTCTCTGCCCCCCATTCCCTTCCTCTAAAAATCAATTTAAAAACACACTAAAAAAACCCAACCACAATACTTTACATTTTATAATGCTTCAAAGTTTAGTGAACTCATTTGGTCCTTAGAACCCAGCCCCGCTACCCCAGTAGGGATGATGATTCCCACTTTACAGATGGAGAGATGGGGCTCAGAGAGGTGAGGTGCCCAGGGTCACACAGGGAGTGAGTGGGGGAGGCAGGTCCAGACCTCAGGCAGTCTGCCCCCAGGCTCATTGTGTGTGCCTGCTGGGCATGCCCTCATCACACCTCACTTTGCAGGATTCTTTGATGCCCGAACCTTGGCAGTTGACTTTCGGAGCATTGGTTTCCGGGAGTGCCTCACTGAGGTCATCAGGTACCTGGGGGTCCTGGAAGGCCCCAGCAGCCGTGCGGACCCTGTCCGGATTCGCCTTCTCTCCCACCTCAACAGCTACGCAGCCGAGATGGAGCCTTCACCCACACCTGCCAGCCCCCTGGCCTTCCCTGCCTGGCCCTGGTCCTTCTTCCACAGCTGTCCAGGGCTGTCAGCCCCAAGCAGCCAGCTCGCCATCCTAGGAAGAGTGCCCGGCCCTGTCTTCCCCAGCGCCTCCTCCCTTGCTTACCCGGTCCCAGCCCTCCGAACCGCTCCCATGCGCAGAGCTGCTGGCACCATCCTCCCAGCCCGGAGGAATTTGCTGCCCAGTCGAGGGGCATCTTCTACCAGGAGGGTCCGCCCTCTGGAGAGGCCAGCTGTGCCCCTGCCCACGGCCCCCAGCAGCAGGGCTGCCAGGAGCAGCCATGTGGCACCCCTCCTTCGGTCTTCTTCCCCCCCTAGTGTTGGGAGGTCCCCTGCTTATGCCACTGTTCCGGCCCCCAGGCCCTCTTCCCCTGGGCCTTCTGGGCGGCCCACTGCAGCTGCAGCTGCGGCTGCTCTCTGCCACTCCTGGGTCTCCGAAATCACGGACGTCGGGGCTCTCTGAGCTGTCCTCCCCCCAGGAGTAAGGAGGATTCTTTTTCAGGAGCTCACACGACTGCATCTTTACCCATCAGAGGCCCCCCTCCTCTGGCCCATCTCCCCATCCTCACTGCTCTTCCCAGCTTTCCCACCAGCTCTCCTGGAGCTGTTCTGATCTCAGAGGCTTGGCCTCCTTACCTGGACAGATGAGTCCCAGAAGAGCCCAGAGAGCTGTGCCCCGACCCCTCTCCTGCCCTGGTATACATGTGCAGCAGGCATGAATCTCAGCTTTGGGAACAAAGCTTTGATCTGAAAAGCACAGTGGTCTGAAGCTGACTGCTTCCCAAGAGAGATCGGACCCCAACCAGGAGCAACGACTGGCTGCAGCCTTCTCAGGCCCAGGGGGCCGGAACACAGCCTCTGCCTTGCTTCTGAGACAGTAAATGGGCCACAAAGAGGTTTCCTGGGAACCCTGCCTGTCCCGGCCCACCAGTCTTCAGCCCACCCGTCTTCGGCACACCCCATCAGAGCAAACCACAGGACAGTCCCACTGTCTACCCCAGACAAGGCCTGGGGGTTGGGGGCCCAGTGGGGCCTGCTCCTGACCTCTTCGCACCTGCAGACACCCACTCAGCTGGGAGGTTTCCTGGCAGCAGTGTGGCTCCACACGGGGTGTCCTTACCACCAGGCCTGGGACCGCGCTCTCAGATAGGAGCCAGGACTGAGCAGAGAATGACCTCTCTGCCTCTTGCACTGCCTCCCTCCTCCAGGCGTGTGGTCCCCACTGGGTGCACTGTGTGGATAGCCAAGTTCCCACGTGACAGCGCCCAGAGAGGAACCCTCTTGGGATCCAGAACCAGACGTTCGCGCTGCCTGGTTTGCATCCGGCTCACAGAGCCCAGACTGCTAGCACCGCCAAGGGCTGTCAGGCTGGACAAAAATAACTGCGAGGAGGGGCGAGAGGAAGGACAGTCAGAGGTGGTCTGGCCCTGCAAGGTCACACAGTGGGTCGAGGGCCTGAGATCCTAGTCACCCAGGATTCCACCCAGCTGGCTCTCTTTAGAGGCCATTTCCTCACACGTTTCTTCTCACAGAGGGAACAAATGGCCTAGCCACCATTTCCCATGCGAGAGCAGAGGCTGGACAAGATTGGAGCAGACCTGGTACTGACGTTCGGTGGGACCAGTGTTGCCAGACCTGTTGTTAAAATGTAGAAACACATCTGTGCTGGATGGCAAATCCCTGCTTCCCCTGAGTGGCTCTGAGTGTCCCCCACCACATGGCTTTGCCTCCAGGACCCCTGTGCTGGTTAAGGGCTAGCAGACCCAAGGTCATGGAGCCCTCCAGTCGGCAATTGGTTTGTCGGTGCTTATTTCACACTGGTTATTAAATACTTTAACTGTCACCCACGGGAAAGTTCTCCCACCCCTACCCTTTGATGGAACTACCCTGCCCAGAGGCTAAATCTAGGAGACTCCCTGGGCTCAAAAGTAGAGTTTGTAAAAACCCTGGGGAAAAGGGCCCTTTCAGAGAAGTGGGTCGGAGGGCAGAGATCATTTAAATGACCCAGAAAGCTCTTTGAAAAGGCAAATTCCTCAAGGAGGCCTAAAGAGCTCCAGTAATTCTTTCACTCCTCAGCTTAGTTCCATCAGATTGCTGTCCTCCTGCCCCTACCCGAGATGTGCAGCCTTGAGGACAGAGGGGTCATTTCGAGGAGTGGGTCACTGGCCTGGAGTGCTCCTGAGGGAGACAGAGGAGGGCAGGGCTGTCAGCAGACTCCTGGGAATTGGGACGGGGGAAGGGGGAGGTGGCAGAAGGGTAAGATCAACTCTACCTTTCTCACAAAAGGCAGGAAGAACTCCTCTTCTTCCTCCCAGCCCACCGTCCCCTCCCCACTTCCCTGGCTATCCCAGGTGGTGGCTCACTGCTCCCAGGACACCAGGTCAGTCCTGTAGTTTGGCAACGTCCTAGCCCCAGCATTTACTCATAGTGGGACTGCGGGAATCCCATTCCCATGTCTCCAGCACCCAACTCCAAAAGAATCTGTTGACACCATTGAATGAGATGTAAATGGCCCAGAACTTTCGGAGGTTGTGGGGGAGAGGTGACTGGCTGGCTGTAACTGTCTCTGTGGTTGAGGATCTGAATCTTTTGTTCATATTCCCAAGTCTTTATGGTGCCCCTGACTCCCACCCCCTTGCTGGGGTGGTTGTTGCAGACATCCAATAAAGTTTTTTAAAGTTCTTCTGGAATTCTGGAAACTTCTGAATGATGCTACTTCTTATATATCTCTGGAGTCCATCCACGTCTCTCGGAGACAGCCATCCCCCTGGACTGACCACATCACCCACCTCCCAGAGCCCGGCCCTGCATAGGTCGCCTCACTCCCCTCCTGCTTTATCAATCAGTTCTAGCGGCGACCAGAGAGAGCTTTAAACATATTGCCTCTGTTTGAAATGATATATTGACTCTGGTTTAAAACCCTTGCTCTATTACCCTATTATTCCAAAGATAAGATCCAAGCTTTTCTTCTTCTGGCCTCAACCTCACTTCCAGCCTCATTTCTCGCCAATCCCAACCTTGTTCCCTGTGCTTCTGCTATCCTGGCCCACCTTCGTTTCCTTGATTCTCAGTCACGTTCCCACCTGCGAGACTTTGCAGATGCTGTTCACTTGCCCAGAATGCTCTTCCCTACCTTTGCTTGGCTGAGTTCTGCATTTCCTCAGCCTTGGGCTTTTAAGTCACCTCCTCAGAGAGGCCTTCCCTGACTACCATGCTTGAATAGTTAACCTGTCTTGAAGTCCCCTATTCTTTCCCTTTATAAGGGACTTGCCATTGCACAGCCACTTAAGCATGTACTTGTTGGCTGACTGTCTCCCCCACCAGCATGTAAGCTCCGTGAGGGCAGGACCATGCCTGGTTAGCTCTCTACCCTGTATCCGGAGCCAAGCATTGTTCCTGGCTCAAAGTCAGTGTTCAATAAACATTTGTTAAATAAATGAACTAGGGAGGTGAAGAATCTTCCAGGCTCAAACTGCTGGATGGTACAGGCCCCTGTCGAGGTGAATCACCCACTGGTCAACTTTGGGAGGAGGCTGGAGAAGGACATGAGAGCCAGGCTCAGGGGACTGGAAGTTCTGGCCAATGGGGAAGAGGCTCTGGCCAAAGAAAAATGTGAGTGTGCTGGCCCTGGAGTACACACCACAGCTGAGGACAGGCAGGTGTCCCTGCCAGCAGGTATTGCTCTCCACCACCCTTGGCCTGGCTCTCTCTGATGGATTTGACTCGCAACAAATGCAACAAACATTCGTGGAGGTCTGCTCTGTGCCAGGCCAGGCATGGCTGAGCCCGAGGTGACAAGGGCACTGTCACCCTAGAGGCATATACCCTGTAAGTGAGTTTGGTGAGGCGAGAGTGGACAGAGAGGTCTGTTGAGAAGGCTCAGGGGGACACAGAGGGTGGGATCTGCCTGTGCCTTAGGTGGTTATGGGGGAGGGGAGTGCTGGAAGAAAGGCTTCCTGGAGGAGGAGGAAATGAGGTATTCTAACAACAGAGTGAACCACGGAACTGGATGTGCGAAGACATGGAGACTTCATCGAGGTGAGCTCTGGAAGCTGGCTCTATGTTGAGCACAGGCCTTGAGCAACAGAGTAAAAGGTAGGCTAGTCTGGGCATTGAAGCCAGACTTCCCGGGTTCAGGCTCCAGTTCTGTCATTTACCAGGGTTATGGCCTTGGGCAAGTTACTTAACACCCCCTGAACCTCAGCTTTTTCATCTGTGAAACAGGGATGATACAGGAATGGCTACTGTTAACTGAGGTAATTACGTACCAGACACAGTGCTAAATGCTTTTCTTGGAATGTCCCCATTTTACAGATGAGGAAACTGAGCCAAGGCACCATCTCCTAAGGTTACGTGAAAAGTGAATGGGGTGACACATGTCAAGCCCTCAGTACTCTACTTGGGTCATAAGAAACGCTCAGCCAGTTGTAGCCATTCGTGTCATTAATGGAAAGAGGCTGGATCCAAACTCTGAAAGGCCTTAGTACCAGGAAGAGTTGGGGCTTCAGCCTGTAGGCAATGGAAGCAGGAGTTTCTTGTTTAAGAAACTCCTATCTGGCAAGCGTGGCTCAGTGGTTGAGTGTCGACCTATAAACGAGGAGGTCACGGTTCGATTCCCGGTCAGGGCACATGCCGGGGTTGCGGGCTTGATCCCCAGTACGAGGCGTGCAGGAGGCAGCTGGTCAATGACCCTCCCTCATCACTGATGCTTCTACCTCTCTCTCCCTCTCCCTTCCAATCTCTGAAATCAATTTTAAAAAAAAGAAACTCCTGCTTGGGAAGGTGTGGACGGCTGACTGGGAGAAGGCTGATTCAGACAATTCCACCTATTCATTGGAAACACCTAGATGCTTTAAGAAATATATTTGTGCCCAGGCCCCAGAGCTGACTTAACTTGTTGTGTAGTGGGGCTCCGTAGGAGGTGTGAATTAGAGTCAGGATTTCTTTCCTAATCAAGGTCAATTTCCGTTTCCATTCAGTAGGTGACTAGACTCTAACTTGTGAGGATGAAAAGGGTCGACACTTTCTGAGAAGCGAAGCAGAAATCAATTTCCACAGAGCATTTCTGCCCTCCAGCCCAGCACTCCCTACTCCCCATTTGTGCTGTATTTTGGGCTATCTTCAAGAAAAATACAAAACTTTCCGTAATTTGTTTATTGTCGATCTCCCTCCCTAGAGTGTAAGCTGTAGGAAGCAGGGTGTGTGTGTGTGTTTGTGTGTGTTCTAGTCATCCTTCATACCTAAAACAATGGTAGTAGACCACAGTAGTCACTTAATAAATATTGGTTGTGTTAATAACAATAGCTCAAATTTATTAAGTACTTGCTAAATGCCAGACACTGTTCCAGATACTTTTTATGTGTCATCTTGTTTCATTTTTTCAATAGCTTTATGAGATAAATCCTAATATCTTTATAGACAGATGAGGAAACTGAGGCATAGAACTCTTATGGTGCTAGCTAGTATGTGATGGAGCCAGAGTTTTAATCCACATGGTCTGACTCCAGAGACTGAATTCTTAGCTGCTCTGCTATGTTGATTTAGAATAAGTGAATTAATTAATTTTTAAAATGAGTGAAAGATGAGTATTTATTGTACTTATACCAGAAACAATGAAATTTGGAGTTAAACAGATCTAGGTTAAAATTCCAGATTTTCTGTATATCGGAATACATGATTTGGACAAGTATTTTAGCTTCTCTAAATTTCAGGGTCCTTACTGGGGAAAACCTATCTTTTATTTACCAAATGTTAGCTATTCTAACCCTTTCATTATATTGTATCCATTCTTGATCCATTACTGCCCTCTAGTGGCCAGTTAAAATAAACAACTTAGTAACTACAATGCTAAATCTAAACCCCTGAATGGTGTAGCCCCAAAATCAGCAGTTTCTACAAATAAAACAGCCATGATTCTTGGTTCCTTTAGTCTTCTGGATTCCATTAGTCTTCATGGACTAAGTGAAGATCAGTCTTTCTTAAAGGAAGACAGGAAGGACCATGTGGGTCCCCGCAAGGCAGAATGGCTCTACAAAATGATCTTCATGAAAAATAAGTTATACAAACTCCTTGCAGAAACACACAGAAACAGGCTCAAAAGATTACACAGCTGAGTTTTCCAGACCTTCAAAGAATATGTTCTCCCTATGTGATGGTTAATTTTAAAATAGGTTTTTATTGCCTGGCTAGAGTGGCTCAGCAGTTGAGCACCAACCTATAATCCAGGAGATAGTGGTTCAATTCCCTATCAGGGCACATGCCCGGGTTTCAGGTTTGATCCCCCCCCCCCCC